AGAAAAAATTTGTTCAGCTTCATTTCTTTTCTAGTTTCATATTCCTGACCATTTTTACATACAGATAATTAGTTGATCTTAAATAATCCAACCCCTATCTCAAACTTAATGCCACATGGAATCCGATTTCTCTCGGCACTAAAAATGATACATGAAATACATTTTAAATATCCTTCAGATTCGAAGTTCTTTTTAGGATGATAGAAGCAAGTGTACCTCTGATACACCTCTTTATATGGTTAATGATGGAGGCAGAGGATGATGAAACATTCCTGAAAGTTTTACTGTTCCTCAATATAAACAATCTGGTTGTGACAGCTAATGCCAGGGTGAGCCTATGAGCACTGATCAATAGGGTGGAGGAGGTGGGGTTGGGCTTGGTGGTTGCGCCATATTGGGAGGGTGTTAGCGTGGCCGGACTAATTAGCACCGGGGCATACGGGGGCTCGTGGTGGGGGAAAGGAGAAGCCGTCATGATCATGTTGTGAGGCTGAGCCTAATTGTTCCTGCAAAAGAATCTGATAGGTATGCTAAGATTGTTAGATTGGAGGCTCATGATCCACTTCTCAATACAGCAAAAGTTTCTTTGGGATTGGTGGGTGTCATCTCTAAGGTCAGTTTATTCGTTTAATTGATTCAATCATATACTATATGTGTGTGACATCAATATTAATTCACCAAAATTAGTTTGTGGTAGGGTTGCAATTTAGGCTGGCCCAACCCAGCCCAGTTTCAACCCAACCTCAACCCGAATTGGGTTAGGTTGGGCCAACCCAAATTTACTCAACATGGGTTATGGTTATAACCCGGACCGAATATTTTCGGGCAAGTTAGGTCAGGTTGACGGGTTGAGTTTTTTTTTTTTTTCCCCGGAAATTTATATATATTATATATATATAATATATTATTATATATATATTATATATATTTGATTATATTATTATAAAAAATGTATATATTTTTAGGGCAAATCATTTCAGCCTCCCCTATCGCCTCCATCTCTATTCTCTCTGAACTTGCCCTCTCTCTCTCTCTCTGCAACTACAAACTACAAAATCTACAAGAATCAGAAGTTCAAAACCCATATATTTCAGTTTTATATATCTGTCTGCAAGAATCAAAAGTTCAAAACCCATATCGGCTTATCATTTCAGATTGTTCAAAAAATCAAAACCCAAATCGGCAAATCATTTCAGATTGTTCAAAAAATCAAAACCCAGATCTTTCAGTTTTCATCGCCTGCTGTTCCAGTTCGGGTTCGCCATTCGAAAGCTTCAGCCGCTGTCTCTCAACTCTCAAGCTTGTCCCCCTCTCTCTGTGCAACTGCTAACTTGTATGTATAGGTTTTGTTTTAATTTTTTTTTCTAAATCAATTAATCAAGGTCTGTAAGACTGTAATTCTTGTTTTACAAATCAATTAATCATGGTTTGTAAGAGGGGTGGTGGCGGCGGCAGCGACGGCAGAGGGGACGGCGGAGAGAGAAAGAGAAAGAAGAAAGAGAGAAAGGTGAAAAAAAAAACTTAATAAATATTTTTTTTTTTTCCTTAATTTTGGGTTTTGGATTGGATTCGGGTTGAGCCCGAGCCCAACTCAAATATGTCTGGGTTTTGACAAAAATCCAACCTAAACATGAACCCAATTTGTGAGTTTAAAGTCCAAATTTTAAATTTTCGGGTTGGGCTTGGGTTGGACTGGGTTAGCCCGCCTAAATTGCAACCCTAGTTTGTGGATAGTTGGATGTGTTGAAATTGATCAACTCAAATTTGAAATGTGACACAGAAATATATATATATATATATATATATATATATATATATATATATATATATGTTCTATATATGGAGATTAATTAATGAGACATCAATGTCAAACCACTAAAACTCGTCACCCTATTTTATTATAATATTTTCTTATTTTCTTATGTTACAAATTTAATTGTTAGATCTCAGAATAGGGGACTTTGTAGTGCGTTTGTATGAAGATTTCGACATAAATGCATGCATGTGTGAATTGCAGAACATTTAACTTGAAGTAATATCCTCTTTGTTTTCTATAGGCAGTTTTTTTTTTTTTTGCTGTTAAAATGTAGTATCTACCGGAAATAGTAAATCAGAAATTCAGAATACATAGTATCGATTTGTAGGAATTCTGCTTCAATAAGTATTGTTATCATTATATGCAAATCAGATGGTGTATGGACCTCACTGAATGATTGTTACAGCTACTGGTTTTCAACACTCGGTGCTGAATCTGAATCGATGAAGCCACTGCATCTCAATGGAGAACATTGCATGTATGATTGTGCTGATTTTGTTTGAGATATTGCATCCGTTGATAGATTGCTAAGTTGTACACTTGTTGTTCCAAGTCATTTATTGTTTTCTGTCAAATATAGAAAAAAACCTAGAAGGCTATTACTGTAGTACCACCTCGTACAGATACGAACTTTAGTTTTACATGTTCCTATTTGAGCCAATTTTTTACTTTTGAGAAGCTTTTCAAATTTAGGCAGGAAATTAAACACTAAAGTTAACTATCCTATAGATTTCCTCTCTTTTCCTGATCCATCAAGGAATAACAAACAGATTACAAGGCACGTCTGAAATGGGAACGAGTGTGGTTAATGCAAAAATTTCGTAGGGTTCGATTAAATACAGGTCAGATTGCCCCAGCAATGACCCATGATGATTGATCCATGGAAAAGAAGTGGCATTAGAAGTAGCTGTGATCTTTTGAAAATATAGATATGATGTATTATTGACTTCACTATATAACCCTTAGTGATGCCTCTGCCCTCTGGCATATCACAAATGTATCCTTGATAGAATAGGAGCAATTATCTTTTTGGCTAAACTATGACTAACTTACTTCTTGAGCAATGATTCCATCAGTCCAATCAACAACTTATTGGGAGTGCCCAACCTAGTAAAGGATTCGGAGACATATATGAGAGAAATACAGTTTTCAGGTTGGATTTTTAGATCACGGAGCTACTGAATTCTCGGTTTCTAATCATTCCATTTTATGAAGTAGAGGTGAAATGTCCCTAATGTTAAATTAAAGTTCCTTCATTGAGCATTTGTAAGTCAAATGTAATGATCGAGTAATCAAACACTTTATTTAAAATTATATGAAAATTTGTAAAATTATAGTTTGATAAACTTTCTCAAGATTTTTGTGTTGCATATCACAAAAACCCACAAAGAAGCTGCAGATGAGGGATCACGATCAAGGTCACGGGGTGAGGTTGTCCCGGAGAGGGCTTCAAGGACTTTGCTGAAAAGGTGAAGAATACTATTACTAATTTCATTGGCTCGAAAGGTTATCATGAGTATTTCTTAATTCTTTTTTGAAAGCAAAAATAATAATAATGCCTATAATAGAAGGACTAAACAGTTATTTCTTTCCTCGTCCCTAAAGATACCAATTTTGACACTGATGGTACGTAACTCGTTATTCAAACAACTTTTCAGAGTTCTTAGAGCTCCTTGTAAGACTTGTTGGAAAACCTATTGTCGGACTCGATTAATTACCCTTTGTTGTTCAAAATTAATGGTTTCATTTTTGTAATTTTCTAATTGTTCAGAAGTCTTATAAGTTGAATCAATCAAAGTCGCTCTAAAACTGGCTACAAAAAAGACTTTTGAAGGCCTCAGGAAGCTCCCAAATGGGCACAAGTTTTGTCAAGAAGAGGAATGGATGCTAGGCGGGGGAGGCGGATAGAGTACATTGTTTTCTGGAAAGAGCTTCTCATGTGTCAATTATTATTTCAAGGATTTAGAAAAATTAGATAATGAAATATCACTTTTACAAGTGGCTTTCACCTTTATAACGTCAATTCTTATAATCAACATTCACTTAAAGCTATTGTTTTATTAAATCTTGTCATGGAGTGCCTGCAAATTGCGATCTTGTTTGGCGCATTGGTGACTTCTTACCGTTATAAAATGTGAAATCTTAAATTTGACCTTTTTAGAGTTTTTCGACTTCTAGTTTGGATGACCTTGCATCGAGTTTTGTTATTTTTTTTTATATTTATTTATTTTCTGAACTCATGATTAAAATTCTATCGATTGATTATTGTTTTTGTTTTCATTTAAATTCTCTTTTTATTTTTATTATTATTATTAGCATAGCTTGACTATACTTTTGGAGATTTAAGATTTCACAATAGTGATATCAAAAGCTCTTATGAACAAATGGTTTATCTCACTTTTAGTAGCTTACTGCGGGGCCAATGCCTGGAACTCCAGAGTCTTCCAAATTTATGGGGGAGATTATGGAGTATTGTAGAGAGAAATGTAAGATTTTATGTTGCAAAGTCGGTAAATATCTTTAATAGTAGAAAAGGTTTTAGAATAATTTAGTGAGTTTTGTAAGGAGAATGCCTATAAATAAATGAGGAGTCATTTACATGAACAAGCTCTAAGCTCTCGAAGTGACCAATCTCACTACACAAAGTGACCAATCTCACTACACAAATTATTCCCGTTAAACGTATTGTGACACTAATCTCGCCTTTTTAGATGCCCGCTTTAGCAGATGGTATAATTTCACGCCCAATTAGTCTATGAACTGCAGTCATTTATAAATTAGATAAATAATTAAATCATTTCATTTAAATTTTTGAGAATTTTTTTGATACAAGAAAAATCTCTTTTGTATGATTTATTAATTAACTTCATATTAAACATGTTCATTACACTGTCGTTCTAATAGCTGCGTCTTCACAAGCAATATAATTACATCTGGTTAGATTACTTCATGAATTTTTCAAGACACCAGTTAATATTTAGATTTTCTACCCTTCTCTAAAATTATAAATTAATCTTAATAGTATATTGAATTATAAATTAATCTTAATAATATATTCATCTCTACCACCAAGTACGCTTTGATTATACACTAGGTCATTCTGTCTAGCATGCAATTATATTATATAGGTTGACGGTTGGCACTTGCAATGGAATAGATATTGAAGTATAAACTCAAAAAGGAATTTAGAAGCGAAAGATGCTAATATAGGGTAAAAACAGCTTACACAGGAGTTCCTCTCAACTACAAAAGAATTTAGAATCTAAAGATGTCTAAGTGAACAATATAATATAAACACTCGAGCTTAAACACTGCTAACCTTCATTAAAACACAGAACTAGACATTCTCTTGGTGAAGTTCAGTATAAATTTCCGCATTGCAGTTGCTACTACAACAACCCCACTGAAATTCCTATTCCTTCCCTACCATTTCTACTCAACTATAATGGGTGTACTGCAATTCAAAACTTTCAATGAGCTCATACAAACTGACATCAAAACCTGTAGCAACAGAATACAAAACTAAGATGCTGTTCTATTCACTGCTGTCACATTAGTCCATTCCTTCCAGTCCTTGTCAACGTGAACTTGAGCCCATTTAACTGCTGCACGTGCAGCTTGTGGTCCTCCGGGCAACCCACGCTCGTTCAGAGTATCAGCCATGTCAATAAAAGGTAAGACCAGGAGTGTTCCCGGACCCCCATACTCGGTGTGCAAGAAAGTGCTGAAAATCTATTGAAAATATTATCACAGGGAGAATAATTCAGCATCTGTACGCTTTCAACATAGTCATATAGCATCAATGAAGTAAATTTGCTGCCTGAGCTCCACAAATAAAAAATAGTTTAAAAAATAGACTTCCTACCAATACTTGAGGAACATTTGCATGCACAATTACAAGAAGGAATTCATAGTGAGAGGATATTCCAACCAATGTCAACTGAAAGGAATTTCATCTACAACAATTTGAAAGGTAGTGTGATGATTGCATTATGACCTAAATTCTAAAGGGTGTCCATGACATTATATTCAGGGATATGACATCATTTATTTAACTTAAATCAAAGCATCAAAGACAATCACAAATTACATTATTCCACTTCCACTTGTGGTAATTAGTTCCAACAGCAGCAAAACCTTCAACCACCTTCTTATTTTTCACCTTAGCGCAGAAAACTACGTATGTCTCCAGTCCTAATGCAATGCTGCTGGAGTCAATTTCGATTTTTCTTCTTCTACTTCTTATTCTTCTTCTTCTTTTTTCCTCCCTAAGTGGGCTTATTTCCACAATTGTCATGCAAGTGGATAAGAAAATAGTACTATCCTATTGGTTATAGTTTTAAGAAGTTTTCTTAATGCCTTAAATCTTTGTTTGCGAGCGATAAAATAATAACGTTAATATATATATATATTACGTTTCAAGCCTATTGCTATTTTTACTTATCAAAAAAATAAAAGCCTATTGCAAATATAAGCTACCAATTTGAATCAGAGAGAATTTTTTCAGAGAACATAGAATGTCTTTAAGTAAATTTAGCATTGATGAACCAGATAAAAATGATGAGTGACTTGCCAAGGGAAAAAAAATGATAAGTGGATTTAGTGACATCATCCTCTACCCTTCTTCAGTCTGTTTACTATACCTCTGAGCTTCTCTGGCGCCGTATAAGGGGTGTACATAACTTTTCAGGTCATGCATATTGCAGGCATCAGCATGGACTAATTCATCAAGAAGAACCGTTAAAATTTGATTTATTCTATTTGTCAATAGTTGTCATAATCTATGCGATCCTAATCAATTCTCCTGCTACTCACTCAATCATTAACCCAGAGGCATGTCATACATATTGTGTTATATTTACCAATATTATCAAATCAATAGATGATTTCACAGTTTTAATTAGGTGTAATGTAAGATGAAAAAATGCTCACAAGTATTACATGTAAGTACTCCAAATGAAGGTTACCATAATATGTAGAAATGGGAGAATGACAAATTAAGCACTAATGTTTGAATCAAACATGGAGTGCAATGATAAAAATTTTGTCATTAAATACTCCCAATTATTATAAGCATAACTCTCTGGAAATGTCTTAACAACTATCTAGCTTTCTGATAGTAATTCGCAAGTGTGCATTTTGGAGGGGTGGATGCGACCTAGTTTTTTCCTTCAGATGTTGAAGCATGACAATTCTAATCCCAAAATTCCAAAAGGACTATTCACTTGTGGGATTCCTCGCACCCATTAGTTAACTCCAAGACCACTCAGTACAGACCCGCACCTACGAATCCGTGACATAAGGCTGTAAATGGATAGAACTATTCATGAACAGCTCGACTCAATTACAAGCTCCTTTACACTCCATTAAGAAGGTGGGTCAAACTCCAAATATTTTTAAGGCTCATTTAATAAACAAGCGAAGCCTGAGCAGTGTTCAACCCTCTTGTATGGGCTCTTAAAGAACAGGAAACTCCTCCTTCCAAATGGAAGGTTAGGGTTCAAGTCCCCAATAGGAAAATAATGCTGCAAGTGGTTGATTTACCCACTGAAAAAAAGATAAGTTTCTTAAGATTCGGATTGTGGGATTGGATTGACAACCGCGAGATTCCAAAGGATAAGAAAAATAATACTTAATAATATTTGTACATCCTAAAAATTCTTTAAAAAATACACAATCAATAATGCTAAAGCTCATGAAAGATATAGAAATGTAAAAAGGCACCTCTATATTCAGTTACTTTTCCTAATAATCTTGAATTTTCAGCAAGCCAAGCCGCAACACAAGCCAAAAACTTTTCCAGAACTTTAACAGATTGCCGAGAAGTATATGTAATCTTTACAATCAATCCTTGAGAACAGTAGCCTTTTAGACTTCTGTTCCAGATGATTTAATATCGACATGCTTTAATTTTGCATTACCATCTTCTTAGTATACACAATGAAAGTTAAACTAAAATCCCCCTCCCAAAGAAATAAAATAAAATCCCTCATTGAAACAAGATTACTCAATCATCACAAACAAGAGATATTCAACCTTAAAACAAGCAAAAGAAAAAAAAAAATGAAAGTACAAGTACCTCAGTGCAGATACCAACAACTTCTTCAATTGAATCTCCATAAGTATCTTTCTTCGAGAGTTCCTTAAGGAGATGGTTCCTAAACTTTTCTGTCTCCTGAACCCAAAAAATACACAATCACACACACTAAGTCAATAATTAGGCAAAAAAATTGAAATCCCACCAATTGAAATGTTTTAACAACAAAATAATATATATGTATATAGAAATATATGAAAAATGAAAACCCACCAACTGAAATGTATCAACAACAAAAGAATATATGTATATATACAAATATATGAAAAGGGTACTCACAGATTCAGCGAACTCAGGAATAGGGTCCGGGAATTGGTACTCGGCAGCCCTGCAAACATGGTTGTTGAAAGAGGAAGAAGAGTGGAAAAGAGAAGGGTATTGTGATGGTGTTTTCTTGTTCAACAACTTGAATAGATAAGAAGAGTTTTTGGAGTGAGTATTAGCTGAAAAGCAAATAGCTGAAGAAGGAGAAGAAAAGGAATTGCAGAGCAGTGATAGGAAAGGACGAAGGGGTGAAGAAGATGAAGATTCAAATGTTGAAGGGATGATAGATATAGTCGAAGTCATCTTCTCCATTCCTTCACACTCTTCTATCTTTTTTTCTGATTTCGGTCTTATCTGAGGACGCAACAGGGCAATACTGAGTTCTTTTGCGGAAATGAATTTGAAATTGCAGTTTTGTCCCTAAACTGTTTGTTAATTATTATAACAAATGCCCATAACTTTTCACTTATTGAAATCTCTCTCCCGCCAACTTGTTATGAAATATGAACACAAGATGAAAGATACACAAACACAAGACTGTAGTATTTACAGATCTTAGTCGGCAGGAATAGCTCAGCTTAAAAGATCTTTGGAAATACTCTCTTTTTAAGTATCCAATCGGGATTGGTTTAAACTTCAACGACATGATCACTTAAATTATAGATTATATGCATTCAAAATTTAACTATCTAGAGAATCATAAATTATAGATTATATGCATTCAAAATTTAATTATCTAAAGAGTCTAAAGTGACTAGTGATTGATTTTTCATGACCCGAACAAAGGGATAGAAAAAAAAAAAAAAAACACAGATCTTAAAGTAAACGCAAGTATTTATGAATTAAAGGCACCAATGTCAATTCTTTTTTAAAAATCAAAGTACACTTATTAAAAAAAGAAACGCCAATATCATCTCCCCTAACTTTATCTTTCCAAACTCTTTTACATTGTTAAACCTTTTTTCTTTAAAATATATAAATATTTCAAAAAGTAATTCACTGTCCGTCCAAAAATTGCATTTGCCAAACCTTAACCAATTGGACACAATCCTAGTCAGTTTTAAGGATCACTTCCGGCTTGATTTTGAGCTAATTACAAGTGACAAGGTTCATCATAAGATAAGCCAGAATAAAGAATTTCCCTGCTCCATTTCAAACGAGAAGCCAGAGGTTTTGCACTCCTAACCTGTGGATCAAGCTGGAGTAGTTGGCATGCTTGGGCGACGTGGATGTGTGAACAAAGCACGTGGAGAGTAACGGACGAAGTTAGCAAAATAAGCAAGTTCTATATACAACAATACACCAGAGTTTAGCAAAATAAGCAAGTTTTCCATACAACAACAACACAACAAAATAAGCAAGTTTTATATACAACAATACACCAGAGTTTAGCAAAATAAGCAAGTCTTCCATACAACAACAACACAACAAAATAAGCAAGTTTTATATACAACAATACACCAGAGTTTAGCAAAAAAAGCAAGTCTTCCATACAACAACAACACAAAAGGTCCGTCGCCTCCTCCCAGATTTGAGGCTATGTACATTGTGCATAAAGACATGCTATTACACTTTCACAGATTCCTTTCATATGGTTCAAACCAAGGAAATCCCAGGAAATCAAACACCTCTTTCTCTGTCTTCAAATGCAAGCTTGTGGTAGCCCTTGAACCCTGCATTGCATGTGAGCCGCAAATGAACCATGAAATACGATATTTAAGTGGACGAGAAACATAATAATGAAAAAGTCGACCAACTCATTACCCGAGTACCGCCTGAACCTTTAGTTGCAGGAAACAATCCGGTATCATCAAGTCGGAATCCTTTGGATTCTGCAAGTAATCTCAGCCTGCGCCCAACAGCAAATGAGCTAAACTTTACGCAGGTTCCACTTATGAGCGCAAGAATGATTCAGAATTTCCCACAAACAAAAAATAAAAGGAAAATAATAGAGATCAGCAAATTCAATAACTATCCCTTGTGTGAGAGGGCCCATTAGGTATTTAAGACAAACTAGCTTGAAACCCAGTCCCGTCATGTCGGCTGCACATAAAGATTGCCTACTAGAAATTTGAAGTCCTCAACAATAAGGAAACTAACAAATTCTTTTCCTAATTGAACTGGGAGGGCACTTTCAGAAATCTGTTAATTGTGTATGCCCCATTATCATGTTATGGATTCATATACTGCAATAAAATAGGTCCAGTTAATCACATCAACAATCTCCTATAATGCACATTATTATGTTCAAGTGAAAGCATGTCAGATGTCCATACATTTGGTCAGTTATTTCCACTCATCTTATTATTTACTAGTATCTTGCAAGTGTAATGAAGACTTTCCAATTTATGAAAGCAAGAAAAGTAATTTTGAGTGGATATACCTCCTATTCAGAACATCATTCCCAGTCCAATGTATTAGTCCAAAAGCATAGATGTCCCTCGGGTATACCTATTAAGTGAGAAAAGAAAAAGGTTTAGTAAAACACCAAAATAATCAAAATCTCTGCAATTTTTAATCCCAGGGAGGATCAGATTAAGGAAAATTAAGTTCTCCTCGTCAGAGGCAGAAATAAAATGGAGTTAAAAATATGCTTACAAAAGAAATAAGTAAATTGTTCTCTGATAATATGATAAGAGGCAAATCCACCAATGAAAAATTTTGAAGTATTATTTTTAGAAACTACTATTAGAAGAAAAAAGTTTTAAGTGCAAGTTTATCCAGGGTAGCCATCACGTTGGAGGGCATCATCGGATGCAATGTTGAAACTATGTCGGAACTCGGGCCTCGTAGAACCAAATTCCTACAAGCACAGATCTGTCTCCATGAATCCCCGCAATGGTGGAAGCCTCGTGCACTAGGCTAGCTCACAATAACAACTTCTTCTTATTCTTCTTCTTCTTCTTCTTCTTCTTTTTTTTTTGGCCTTTTTCTTTTTTAATATGCCAGGCTACCCCTAAAATTAAATCAACACATCAAACTTCCAACTCTTTCCATACGACACACACTGATTAGCATGGAATCATGGGAATAGAATGTCAAATTACCTTGATTAGCAAAATCACTTAATCTATGTATTAGAACGCATCTAATATTAGCCTTCTAGTGGTTTCTACCTGAATGGAGAACAGAGAAAGTTGCAACATGAAAAACATGAACTGATGCTCAGGGAGAATAACACAATTTGGGTGGCTGCGATCAAGGCAGTGTGTAAGCAATCAGCAAAGTTGACTAAGGCTATATATAGTACAGCTCAAGTGTACTATTTTTAAAAATAGATATTATACTAAGGACTTGTTAGTTCAGAAAACAACTGGAGCATTACCTGTCACCAACACAATCACTTGTTCAAAACTTCAACTTATAGAATCAACTAAAACATCATTTACAGTATGTCAAGCTTAATACTCCAATAATTTGTTTTTCAACTGGTAGAATTTAAAATATCAAGAGCAACATATGCATCAATAAGCTAATTAAAGTTCACATTTAAATCTAACTCACTCACTAAAAGTTTAGCATAACTACTTGAATCAGGTGCAAGAATCTTATTTTGCCATTATTATCTGTCACCTACCATAAGCCTAGTCACATTCCACATCTTCTCTAACAATTTCAAGCATGTCCATTTTGACCTTCCTTTAAATGATGAAATCATCTCAGCAAGTCTCTCCCAGCGCACTCTGTTAATGCTACCTTCTAGCTTCTTAAAATGTATAGGGCCTGCTTGGTTCAGTTCTCTTAGAAGAGTTTTCTGTTCTCAAAGAACGAAAAAAGTTTGAAAATCCTTTTCATCATTGGTTTTCTGGAAACTACTCTCTAAAAACAGAGTCAAAATAATGCCTAATTTCAGTGAACAATCTTCTGTATTTCTCAGAAAATTGTTTTCCGTATTTAGGGTTCTTTAAAACTGTTCTCAAAAACTTGAACCAAACAAGCCCTCAAAATTTTGTTCTCTTGTTTCTAGTTCAATGACGAGCACACCCACGATGAAGTTTTCACAAAGAGGACCCATACATCAGAACCCAAAATATTATGCCGAATAAAACTTAGGCAAGGGTATAATATGAAGAAGAAACCTATTAATATCTAATTCTATGCTTCTTATTTTGCCTTTCATCCACCTTAGCATCATCATTGCAGCTAGCATTGTCATTCTCGATTGACTGCTCAGCACTTTGTAAATCATGAAGTAAAGGAAGCTTTATTGTAATCCTAAAAAACGTTTTGGACTCACTACAACAAATTGAGGCTTTTGTGACAAAATTTTCAAAGCAAAACTCATATAGTCTCTTATTTTTGGTGACAAAATACTATTTCATCACAAAAAGTACTGTTTTTAGGGACAATTTTTATCTTGTCCCTAAAAGCTCAGCGGGAAACTTCGCAGCCCTTCCCACGTTTGTCAAAAGTTTTTCGCTGGTATATCTAAGACAATACCGTGCCGTTTCAACAATATCGTAAATTTTAATTAAAACGATGACGTCCGATGTCCTTGAATTAGTGTTTTGTACTACCACCACTTAGAACATATTTTTTCCCAGGTCGTGCTTTTCTTTCACACAATTTTTAGAAAAACACAGAGTTCTTCAGTTTCACCTCATTCTCGTTCCTTGAAAAACCCTAACCGTCGCCTTATCAAAAATCCCAACACTGTCTCCACTACCCAATTCAATGGCTTCCCTCTCAACCACTCTTCTCTTCTCGACAAACCTAAATTGATCACCTGTTTGTTAAACGCTCCTCCCAATCCCAAGATCGGGTCTTCAATTTCGTTGTTGGTCCGGTGACTATGCCTGAAAACGTGCCTAAGATCGCTAAATCTGAGCTTTATAACTGCCGTGGCTCCGAAATCAGCGTGATGGAGACGAACACAGAGGCAAAGAGTCCCTCTCAACCATCTAGAAAGAAGACGCACTCTGTCCTCTTCACATGTCTCTGTGTTTGGACTCTGGAGGTAAGTTTTTATTGGTTTTATATTTTCAAAACCCTAGCCCTCCATTACCGATGAAAGCCCAAATTTTATGTGTGACTCCCTTGTTATTATATGTAATTTATATTCTCTATGTTTTCTGTCTCCCTCTCTTTCCTCATTACCCAAGCCCTAACTCTCAAGACATAATAGATCATAGATTACAGTATATTTAACTTATCAAAAAAAAAAAAATAGATTACAGTATATTTGATTATGAATAAATAAAAAAGAGTGCATAATTGGATCAAAAGGATTTGTATTTTGATGGTAGAACATAACTAATTAATTTTTTGCTATTCTCCATTGAGATATACTAGGCATATAATTTCATAATTCCAAAAAAAATATTTGAAGAAATCAATCAGATTTTTAAGAGGCATAAGAGGATTACCATGTAGGTGTTTAATCGGGACATCACTGTGGACTTGCTTGTTGCTGATATCAATAACAATGGCTTTATTTGGTATGAATTAATAGGCTTTTAATTTCTCTTTCACTATTTAATATATCACTCACTAAATAAATTCATTTTTCAGAAACTATCAAATTCACACTGATGTACAATTGGTTTTAGCAGTATTATTAATTGAGCTATTTAGATTGTATTCTCAAATCAATCTTTTTATGTTCAAACAATATAGTAATAAGCTTGCATTTGACAATTATCCTCTTTTAGTGGACATTAGGCCTTTTAATATAAAAGAATGGGAGTGGGAGGCGTGACTAATGTTTGACTTTTCTCTCTTCTCTCTGTTCTTTTTTTGACGTCGGAGTCTTTCACTCCGGCGTCTGTCATTGTCATTTATGCTTTGTGCTTCTGGATTTTGGCTTTCTGGCAAGGATTTTTGTCATGCTTCGTTCCTATCTCAATGTCGCAACCTTACCTCGTCTTAACTTCCATGATGAAATCAAAAGATGTTCCATAGATGGTGATTCGGTCTTTAGGGTTGATCATCAAAGCACCAAGGATCGTGAATCTGTTTTGAGGTCATGTCTAGTTGGTCGTTTTGACAGAGATGTGGGGTGTATTGAAGGGATTGAGGCGTAGGCTACGAGAGCCTGGAAGGTCTCAAGCGGCGTAAAAGTTTCTTCCCTTCCCGATGATCTTTTTCTGTTCAGGTTCCCGTTGGAGCAAGAGGCTTTAAGGGTGTTGGATGAAGGAAGAAAGAGGTGGGGGGAGGCTGTGTTATCCATCGACATATGGTATTTCGCGGTTGGATGCTCTGCAGTGAAAGATCGAAGTACAAGGAGGGTGTTGTTATTTGGCTTGCCCCTTCACTTGTGGTGTCAAAAGTTGTTTGAAGCAATCGGTAATCTATGTGGTGGTTTTCGAGGTGTTGAGGCAGATGATTCGGTGAATGGAGAGAGAATTCTTCTCTACGTTTCCGCCGGAAAAAAGATACCGGAGTACGTCTTTGTTGAGGATTACAGAGTTGCCTTTAAGGTCAACTTGATTGAGGAAGTCACACCTCGTATCTTCCCGAAGTCCCACTATATAGGTGGGGAGAATTCTTACTTCCCGCGTGCTGCAACGATCATCAGAGGGGGTCGCCGGAATTTACAGTTCCGTCAGGGCTTCAAAGAAAATAGACGATTGCTTGCCCACGCGCCTGAAGCGAATAGAAAGAGTAGACCCAGGAGCCGTGCTAATCAAGTCCTGGATCAGTGCTCACTGTCTCGGTTTAGCCATTTCAAAAATAATCAACCACGTGGCAATAATCGTGGCATTAATGGAGCCACTCACGAAATAGCCATTGATGGGCCTAAGTATGGGCCAGATGCATGTTCTGGGCCTCTTTTATTTAATGGGCTAACTAATAGTGCTCAGAAAATTAAAAGGGCCGTTAATTCGGGACCCAGCAACCATCTATCAATTTCAGTCCCAAACGAGAAATCCAGCTCTTTTATGGTTAAGCCCAAGCGGGGGCCCATCTCTTCTCTTAATTCAAAGCCCAGCTCACCTCACTCTCATGTTATAAGCACTTCGCACAATCCACACTTAAGTGGATCTTCCGGAACTGTCTGGAACTCGCCGGAAAAGAGAAGATGGATGAATCTCTCTGTTGCAGAGGCTGGTGCAAGACCTGTTGTTAAGAGGTTTCATCATTCTCGGTGTTGCGCTGGCTTTTGTTCTACATCCCGCTCTGCTATTCCACAGTTGAAAGGAAGTACTAGATTTCCATCTCAGGGCCATTTTCCTGGAGTTCGATGGTCAAGAAAAAAAAAGCAGAAGTGGGTGACTAACGGTTCAGGTATACCTTCAGATCTCAAGAGGCCCTTTACTGATCCACCCTCTTCTTCTACCCTTTCCTGTGAGGCGATGAGGGATGTTGTTGATGTTACGGAGAAGAAGGATGGGCGAACACTCTTGAACTCTGATTATAACGATGGGAAAAATGGTAAGGAAAACTGTAAGATTGATCCTCCTAGACAGCTGGTTCCGGTTGGTAGTACAGATGATTTGTATGAAGGAGTA